AAATGTACAAAAAAAAACATCTACCAACAAAAAAATTACAAATTAAAAAACATAAAAAGCAATTTTAATAATCATGATCATTACATCTCATTTATATTTGAAGCAATGTTTAAGTGGATTTCTTAGTAATAAAAAAAATACACAACTGTCGTACTTGGGCCTGTGTCCATACTGGCCCCCCATCATCTGTCTGCTGGTGCCCTCTACTGGTAAAGCTTTAAAATTCAAAACATAAAATACTATTAGTTTTTCATTTGTAGCAGATATAGCATAATATCTATAGCTAGAGAAAGGGTCTCAAACCTCAGAAGAGTAACTTTTTCAGGACAAAAGAGAAAGAGAGCTCTTCCTTTAATGTTCAAAAGAAATGTAGTCACTTTCATGGTGAGACTTAGATGAGCGTATCTGCCCACATTCATCAGTGCACAAAGTTAAAGTATGCATTTACAAAAGTTATAGGTCTGAATCTATGAAATGTGAACAATTTCAATTCATAATTTTAATTGTCTAAATAGCCCCACCTGCAGAAGCTATATTGTGAAGGGGATATTGAAGTTCCACTATGTTGTTGTGTTTTTAGGCAAAACTCTTTATTGACATCACAAAGTGTGGGTGCAGTGTGCACGAACGCTGGAGGTGGTCAGAGGACTGGTTGCCTCACTTCTGTCAGTCAGTGATTTTTGTATTAGTTTACTGCTGCTCTGTATGGAGTGCATGCAATAATAACATGTGCATGGGTGTCATTTAAAGTAGATTATTACTATGCATTATTTAGGTTCATTAATTTATACTTGGAAAGGGGTGATGAGCTACTGCTATTCGCGAGCTCAGGAGACCGTTAGTTAAAAACAGTTGGTTAGAATTTCCTTGAGTATTATCCTACTCCTTAGGTTGAGTAGTACATTCCATAATAATATATACGTTTTTTTTTAAAACAATATATTTATCAAAGAAAGGCAAAAGCATTCTTCAAGTTGTTATGATGGTTTGTATTCTTTATGATGAATTGTAATGTTCAAGTGAGTATAATGTGATATGAATGCTGCTGACGGCTCAATCTTTAGAAGGAAAACAGTTATTTTGACCCGGGTCATGGAATGCACTTATTTCCAACAGAAAATGCATACATCAATTGGCTACACTTGTGCAAATGTAATACATGAAAAAGCTAAATTATAACTTTAAACATGAAATAACTTATTTTTTTATTTTAAAAAAGAAATAAAAAAACAGTCCGTATTTTGAAAGCAAGTATTTCAGAGAGGATTATTGGGGCGAGTCAAACTGAGAACCAGAGTGAAATGAAAGTCCCACTCAAAAACACACATGCTCACTAATTGACGGGTAATAATTCTAGAAGCTTATTAAAATAAAACATGTGACCCTAGCCAATTACTTTAAAGTGGGAGAGATGTAAATGTGACATGATGTAATTACTTGTCAAAAATGACTGTGTCCATAATAATCCCAACTGCAGAAATGGAAGAGAACACATTGTGCAGTGTAATGAGCAGAAATGAGCAGTAGTGACAAATTAATTAAAAGTCCTTTCAGCTGCAGAGAGGCTAAAGTCGACAAATGACGCGCTCAGGAAAAGCTCAGAGCCCCAGAGATCCTGATTGTTGTTAGAATGGCGGCATTTGCATTCACAATGAAGATGCAGAGAGATGTGAAGGGCTGTTTTGGAAACAAGATGGCAGTCATCACTGGCCTTCTGTCAACGCTGTGCTCAAGGCAAATGGGTTTTTCAGGTTTACAGGGCTGTGCTTGGCTGGTTCACATCATGACGTATTCTATTGATAAATTAATGGTAGATTACAGGCCACCAATTATCAACTATTTTAGTAATCAATTAATTGTACAGTTGTTACAAATGTATAAATGTTTAAATTGAGTTATAAAAATGATTTTCTGGAAATATTATCAATTAGAATGTTCTCCAGTGGCTTCAACTGTTCTGCATGAGATTTAGATGAAAATCACATGTTCATGTTTTATATATTCATCAATTTTGCATACATGACCCACCTACATTCTGACATACATTTTCAACTAATACAGTGCCTTGCGAAAGTATTTGGCCCCCTTGAACCTTTCAACATTTTGCCACATTTCAGGCTTCAAACATAAAGATATAAAAATTTATTTTTTTGTCAAGAATCAACAACAAGTGGAACATAATTGTGAAGTGGAACGAAATGTATTGGATAATTTAAACTTTTTTAACAAATAAAAAACTGAAAAGTGGGGCGTTATTCGGCCCCCTTACTTTCAGTTGTTGAAACTGAAATGTTGAAAGGTTCAAGGGGGTTCAATACTTTCGCAAGGCACTGTAGATAATTTTTAAGAGTAGGCTCAAGACGCACCTTTTTAGAGCAGCTTTTGATTAGTATTTATTATCTATTATTGCTTTTTAGTACATCTATTTATGTTTTTAGACGGATTATATTTTTATTTATTTTTATTATTTACTATTTTTAATTATTTATTGTATCTACCCATTTACTATTGTTATTATATTAGGCAGCTGCCATTTTTCTTTTTATTTTCACATTCTATTGTTCTACTTTCTATTGTATTATTGTATTGTTTTAGTGTCCCCAGTGTTTCCTCTGGAGGAGCCCTCTGCACTGAGAGCTGGGGTCTGCTGTGGCTTCGGGGGACTGGTTCTTGGATCCAGTGGGGGTCTGGGGCCTATCTCTCCTCTGGGTCCTATGGGGTCTGAGTCCTGGGCCTGGTGGGGTCTGGGGCCCCTCTCTCCTCTGGGTCCTGTGTCGTTGCCTGTGGCTGCAGCCGGCTCTCTGCTCCTGGTGCAGATGGCTCCTTGGATGACGCTTCTTCAGCCGGTTACATCTGCTCCCAGCCCCATTTCTTTTTATTGTTTTACCTATTTTACCTGATATGACTTTATACTTGTGTGTGTGTGTATGTGTGTGTGTGTGTGTGTATGTGTGTGTGTGTGTGTGTGTGTGTGTGTGTGTGTGTGTGGGTGTATATGTGTGTGTGTGTATACGCATGTGGTTGTATATATAATTATAAATGTGGTTTTGGGGGGGGTCTGTGGGGAGGAGGGTTTAGGGCTGGGCATGTTGGATTGTTTTTAACTAAACTGTAAAGCACTTTGTGTTACACTTTTTGTATGAAAAGCGCTTTATAAATAAAATTTGATTGATTGATTGATTGATAATAGTAAGCGTGGTCCTGGCTGGTCAGGCAAAAAAATCATAACTTCAACACATACTCCTGATGAAAAATATCTTTATCTTTATATTTCAATATCAAAGTTGAGCACTTTACAGCACAGAAGGAGAAATAAGAGCTCTCAGATTAGGCACAGATAAATCAGGATCTATTATTTAAAATATAATAAAATAATAGCCAATATAATCGCCGTGGGTTGTTGTTCAACTGTGAGTTAGACTTTGTTGTCACACTAATGTCTCATCCATGCAACCCGGAAGCGAAATGCTGATTGTGCTTTGTCATCATGCTCGTTCTTACGTGTCACTACCATGGATGTATTATATTCACTACCATGACAAGGCAATATTTGTCTACACTCTACAGCAGGGGTGCTCAATACGTCGATCGCGATCTACCAGTCGATCGCAAAGGTAGTATTGGTAGATCGCATCAAATAAATAAATAAATACACATTCTAAACGAATATATACAAAAAACTCTGGGCAAAGTGGAGATTTTTGAAAACTCCGTTAATGCATTTGTGTGTAGACAGAGATAACCGGAGTTTTGCGTTCTCGCACGCCACAGTACCCCCCTAAATTCCTCTGATCACTGAAGCATGGATCATACTACCTTAAAAACTGTTCGCTGTGAGATGCTGCAGCAGCAAACATCCTCCACATCAGAGAGCAGCAAAGTGATCGCGGGGACTCAGGACTAGGGCTAAGGACTAAACCAGGACTAAACCAGGACTAAACCAGGACTAAACCAGGGCTGAGGATCCGGGGTCAGTGCTTGTAAACATACGTCTTTACTCTGAGTGTCTTCTATGACTGTAAAAGTGCCGTTACCGGCGTCTGCATCAAAGCTCCGCCCACTTCCGTGTTTTTCCCCAACGCAGGACAGGACGTAAGAGACGCACATGTTTGGAATGTTACGAATGTGATTGATAACGCAGATGTGTGGATGCAAATTATTTTATAAACTGAGGAGGGGAAATATTTGGATTTAAAAAAAACAGGCATAGCACATGGACATGGCACCACAGTCAAATGACATCTGTGTTTTACTCAGTAATGTTTTACTGACACTTAGGTGACTGCACATGTGTGTTTTACTCAGTAATGTTTTACTGACACTTAGGTGACTGCACATGTGTGTTTTACTCAGTAATGTTTTACTGACACTTAGGTGACTGCACATGCGCAAACAACCGCGCTCAGTGCAGGAAAGCTAAACAACGACAAACTTGTCAGCGAGTTACCACCAATTTTCCGGACTATGCATCCCTGGCCGATTCAATTCAGTGCAAGTCATAAGAGTAAACTCGGGTAATGACAAAAAATGTACATAGGTAATTGTGTTGTGTTGTGCTATATTGGCTCATGCGGTTTTGCATGTACATAAACATACATTGTAGATAAAGAATATTTTTTGAAATAAATATATGGTTTGCATTTTTGTAGTAGGTAGATCATTTTGACTTGATCCTTTTATAAGTAGCTCGCATGCTGAAAAAGTGTGAGCACCCCTGCTCTACAGCCTCAAGTGAAATACATCAGAAACCGGGCTAAAGAGTAAATCAAAAATTTGAAATCACACAAAGAACAAAGGAAAACACGTATGATTTAGAGTTTGTGATGAAAGAGTCCACTGAATCAAACGTGTATCCATTATATGATAATAGAATTGTCTGACAGATGTTTCTCGATCATACCTGAGAATTCCACGCGCGAGGGCCCGGTGAACACGCCCACAGTTACGTGTCCATGTGACGTCATAGCACATAGGCGGAGCGCGCGTGACACATCAAAACCATGAAAACATCCAGAGCCAGAGCCATATCTGTGCACGGACTACGATCCAGGCTGGTGCTGGGAACAACGGACTGTTTCTCAGGGATCTTTTCAGTATAGACGGGAATCTCATCAGTAAATGTATGTTTTTATCTGGATTTACATCGTAGCCTTCTGTTTGGTGGAAACAAGCTGAAGGGAAGAGAGAGACTGGTGAGTAAACACCGAGCTAACCCATGCTAGCTGAGGTCCCGTGTCTGTTTTGGAATAAAGTCAGCTTTTGTCTAATATTTTCCAAAGGTGATTGTTATGTTGTCTTTAAAATGAATGGGAAGTCTGTTCTCAACGGTAAAATATGCCTTAAATCACCCGCTTTGTTGACATAAGCCTTTCATAACGCATAATATTTTACTTGGCTAGTGGTGGCTGTAGCAAGCGAGCTTTTCGCTATTTCTGACATGCTGTAAGTCTGCTTTACTGCAAAATATTGTTATTAAATGTATGCCTCCAGTCAGTATTCCCATTTTCGTAATGGGCTTTGTGGTGCTTTCATCAGCAGAGTTGGATCTGTTACATAACTAACAGAGCAAACTAATCTTTCACCGTTAGCATGGTCTAGCATGACCTGGCTAACGGGCTAATGCTGATGACATCCTGAGTGTGAATTTGCAAGTCATTTCCTTCTCATCATCTGTGCTTAATACACATTTATTTGGGATATGTTACATTTACATTAATACTGTGTAACCACCATTTATATTATTTTGTCCAATAAATTCCAGTTTTTTGTCTCAGATCGCAGTTTCGTGACAAAGAGTTCTATCATGGAGTTTCCAGACCTGGGGGAGCACTGCTCTGAAAAAACATGTAAACGTCTCGGTGAGTGGTGTCATGTGTGAAGATACTCGAATTGTCTAGATGTCCTTTTAACGTAATTATGCTTTTTTCAGATTTTCTTCCCATGAAATGTGATGCGTGTCAAGAAATATTCTGTAAAGACCATATAACCTACGCAAACCATAGATGCACCTCCTCCTACAAGAAGGTATGTTTTTTTTTTAAGTTTACTTGTCTTATTATCTTGTAGCATGTTTTAATTTCTATTGATTTTAAGCAATCAGGGTGTCTTCTTCTGACGTTGTATGTTGTGTCATCTGTGTCACAGGATGTCCAGGTGCCTGTGTGCCCACTCTGCAACATCCCCATCCCAGTGAAAAGAGGGGAGATGCCGGATATCAAAGTCGGTGAACACATTGACAGAGACTGCAAGTCGGATCCAGCGCAGAGGAAAAGAAAGGTAAGAGTGTCATTATTGACATTATTGGTTAAATATTGTGTATTTAACCCTTGTGTTACCCTCGGGTCAAATTTAACTGCCACAGTGATTAAAAGCATTAAATGACCCAGGACTGGTCAAGTTAGGAAATAATCATGACTCGAGGATGGGACATGGGTTCTTTTTTGATAGGTTGTGCATATTATGTTTTAATCATGTCCTTGTCATTTATTTATGCTTATGTTTTGATGTTTTGATGGTTTGATGTTTCTTTTAGATTTTTACAAACAAATGCTCAAAAGGCGGCTGTAAGCTGAAGGAAATGATAAGGGTGACATGTGATCAATGTCATTTAAATTACTGTCTTAAGCACCGTAACCCATTAGACCACGATTGTAAGACTGATGGGAACCCCGTGTCCAAATCTGGGTATGTGTATTATTTTTATGTCTGTGTTTGTTGTTGTCAATACCTGACTAATGTTATGTTATTCTTACTTTGTTGTTCAGGCAAGCTGCGTTAATGAGATCTCATGGTGCTTCCTCTACCTCAACCTCTGGGTCGAGTTCGTCCTCCTCAGGGAGCTCCAGACCTGTGTCTAGACCTGTGTCTAACGGAGTCAGCACAAGTATCAGAAGCAGCACTCGGTAAGAGCTTTAACATCTTTTATTTCCTTTCCTTTATACTGTTTACTGAAGATCAGATCAGATAAGATAACTTTTTATGTGTCCTACAATGAGAACATTACAGAACAATAGGAAAAACAAGCACTCATAACATTTTTGTTAACTAAAATATTTGTTATTAGCACTTAGTTATTGCTTTATAACTATTATTTTTAATAATGTAAATGTTTTTTAGATAAATTGATGGGCAGTTGGCCTCAAACACACTGAAATAAAGAGACTAAAATCAATTACACAATAACGTAGATTAAATTTATGATAATAAAATCCTTGTTTATTTACCTTCTTATCCCTTAAACTTCTGTTTATATCTTCAGAGATCGATATATTTATTAATTTGTTACTTGTGGCATTGCATTTATAAGCTTCTAACTTGCTTTTATTAAACGTTATTGTCGTGCTGTGGAACATTCCTGGAATAATGGCACATTATTCACACTGATGGTCAAAGCACTCACTTGATTTCTTTCTTACTTTCAGCGCAACTCCGCGAATCCCAACTTCAGTTTCAGCACATAGCGTTATACCTCCTTCGGCGTCTTTCCAAGCTGGCATGGTGAGGACTTAGGAACAGTGACTAAAACTGGAGATGTCGCTTTGTCATAAAAGTCTATCGGACTGTGCTGTGTTGCAGACGGAAGAGCAAGCGTTACAAAGGGCTCTGGAGATGTCTTTAGCAGAGACCAGACCAGCCGTCCAGCCCACTCTAAGGTACATGCACTTCACATACTTGGCATAACTAAATACTGTACCCAAATGTTTTTCTAAATAGTTCAAATGGAGGTAATAAAATGCTGCTGTAGTCCAGTAAACTCAAGTTATTGATTGCTCTGCACACTCCTCCTGTTTGTTCTACTGCATCAACGCAGTGCTGCTGGACTGCAGTTTGGGGGGATTCTGCAGATACAGCGTTATGTTCAAGGGTGTCTTTGAAAATCTATGGTCAATTATTATTAGGAAACTGAGTGGTTTCTGATTCACAGCAGTAACTTTAGGAGCAGGCCAGGTGCTCTTAGATTGCAAGTGGGCAGTGATCTAATTTAGAAAAAAAGACTGTTTCTAAACATTTTAACCATCTTAAAGTTTATGTTAAGTTAATATATTGGTGTTTATTATTAGTTCAGTATTCCCCAACCTTTTTGAACCATGACGCAGCTTTTTCATTGAGAACCATCACCTGGCACACCATCAGCTGAGACATATACAAACTTGAAACTCTGCAGCCTTTATTAACTATATAAAGCCATTCTCATCAAAGTGTATTAAAAAGAAAATCAAACAAGAGCAAAGGGGTTTTTCTAATCTTCTCATTTCATTTTCTTTCCCATATTTTGGGTGATATTGATTTCCAAAGGCACACTAACATGCCACGGTTGAAAAACACTGATCTAGTGTATGTACAGTATGTTTGTGTGTGTGTCAGCATATGTGGCAGAAAATTTTAACTCAATTCAACCTATTTTAAGTATTAGCCAATATATACGCTTTACAGATGTGCAAAAATGAAATGTGAAGTGGATCTTGAATTATAAAAATATGAATCCAGATCTAAAATGGCTACAGTGCACAGACGAGGTGAATGAATGTTTGTTTTCTAGCCCTCAGGAGCAGGAGGATCTGGCTCTAGCTCAGGCTCTTGCTGCCAGTGAAGAAGAATACCGCCGTCAGCAGCAGCGACAACAGGTACCGGGAAAGATTAGCCGCCGTAGCATGATTTAACATGTAGGTACACTGTCTTTATTGGTCAAACTCTGCTAACGTGTCTTTGAGACGTCCATGCTATCTCTCTGTGTGAGAATTGATCCAGGAAGAGCTCTCACCTAATAGATTTCCATTTGTTTTCCAGGGCAGAGAATCCAAACAGTCGAGCTGCAGCCTTTCTTAAAACCGACATTGTGTCCACACTACAAACCGCACGCACCATCAAGCATCAAAGATTGTTGTTAATAATAAATGAGAAGATGTATTTCGCCTTTTACGATATATAAGCACATATTTTCAGCAGTAAATATTTGCTTTGTACATATTTTATAAGCTGATCATGGATTCACTGTACTACAACACATGTATATTGAAATAAATTATTTGATGATCCACCATGAAGTTAGTCACTGTTGTCTATGTATGCTGCCATTATGTTAGCTTGTTAACTTCTCATTACTAAATGTATGATTAAAAAATGGCTGGATTTGATTTGATTTGAATACTTTTGCGCCATTCAACAATATTTTGTTGTAAACTAAACTTATATAAATAAAATCCAAGTCATAAGTGTACATGTACATCCAACACACATCACTCATTGATTTACTACTATGTGTCCAGCAGGGGGCAATGAAAGCCCTTGCAAAAGTATTTTATTATATATTCTAATGCACACTGACATTTCCCACTGTAGAATAAAGATTGTAATATTTCTTATCACAATCAGCGATCATTTCGCTTTAGCCTCTTTGCAACCTGGTGAGTTGATGTTATAACCAGAAACTGATGTGACATTGAAAAATCTCAAAGAGAAATGACTTACAAAAAAATGATTACAAAGTTAATCTATTTAGTCGCAAGAGAGTTACATTAATTTGGGATTACCTTTGTTGTATATGTTTAAAAAAAACATACGCTCCATGTTGAAGCTGTATTTGCTTAACCTGTGTTTTGATAGATACTTATTTACAGATTACAGTTACTAAGTATTTTCCCAGTAATGTGCAACACTACTTATTACTCAAAAAAGTAAAATTATTACAGTAATTCATTTTTAAAGGTATAGTTCATCTCCCCAAACTCCTCTTTATAGTAGTAAGCATCGCCGTCAGCGGGGTTCTAAAACCACAAACTAGGGAATTGCTGTGGCTCTCGGTGCATACAGTCAAAAGAAGAGAATAGAGTAAGAATCAGCATACATTTCTAAGATATCAAAAATGAAATTATTATAATTATCACTACGTACAATATACAAGAGCACTATAGGTGCACACATATACATCAGAAGTACCTTATGTTACAAAACCTCTTTATAAAGGCCTAATTGCCTGGATCTAAAACAAAGCATCATGTTTATGCTCCTGGGATCTTGTCTAGAACACGAGGCCTTGAGTTCATTATGTAGATATTTCTAATTCAGCGCACACTTTCCATTGATTAACTATATGCAGTAGTAAATGCAGTATGAATTATATTTTTAATTGCTCCCTGTCCTCCTGTTTTATGAATATCATTAGGAAAGGCTTCCTTTAAGAACTCAATAAATTAAAATTTTTGCTCAAAACCTCACAGCTTGAGATCGGGAATGTTTTGAATCAAAATGTGTGTGACTTTTTATATTTTTATATTTTATATTTTATATTTTATATTTCAACCATACATCCATCCTGTTTCAGTTTATCAAAAAGAGATCAGACAAAATCTTGCATCAATTCATATAGATAAAAGTGTTGTCCCATATTCATAATTGTTAGTTCACAACATGTGTGTAAATTAGGTGAGATTTAATTCTTTTTAAATTGCGGTTACTCGGTGCTGTGGTGGACGCTCGCACAGCAAGAAGGTCAGGCCTTTCTGTGTGGAGGTTGCATGTTTGTTTCTGTGTCTGGGTGGGTTTCCTCCAGACTTCTAAGGTTTCCCTTATCACTCAATGAAATATACACCATAGGAAAAATCGTTGTCCTCCTCCAGTCATCTGACCAAGCCAAGCACAAACATCCATGGGTCCTGGAGTGCTGCACTATAGCAACCACTGCTCCTGATCAACTGGGAGGATGGGCACTCCGGTTTGCCCTATCATCCCAATCCATGCAGTAGAATGAAACTGGTGAGTGATGGTGGCGGATGGGCTAATGATGCAGCCTCTCATCCGTCATCAGAGTACAGCAGGTGTATGTGACTTTGATTGAGCTTTTTACAAGCACACGAAAAAACATTTTTTAGTCTCTGAAATAAACAAGATTAAAGGAAGTAGAGCACTATAGAGCAAGGTTTTATTGCAGTGCGTGGGAAGACACACAAAGAGGTCATTTATTGTCTAACTTTTAATCTTCATTCGGAGATAGAGAAACCTTATGCACAGATTAACCTTAAAAATTCAGATTAATCTAGTGTTATTCTTTTATGAAAATAAATGTACTTTCACCTACGACTTCAGTCAGTATAGCTTAACTAGATCCTTGCAGAGTTTTATTTATTTATATTTAAACAGTGTCTCCCTAGAGTTTCAATTATCTAGTCTACAGCTGCAGCTCGGGTGCAGATATGAGCAGTTAGAATGAAGTATGGAGCTAATTCCGAGGCTGTAATAAAAGTTAAAATGAGGCTAATCTTAGAGTGCTCTTGTGTCAACGGAGTTTGAAATAAACCCTGATAGTATGACCCAAGAAAGGCTCCACAAAATTACAAAAAAGTGAAACAATTAATTTGTCTGAGAAAACTATTAGAAGCTTCTGTTGCAGAATAGAGAAAACTCCCAGGATAGTGTGCGGGTCTGTGATAAACCCTAACAGCAAATGGTAGTTTTGAAGTTATGTCGGTTTAATAAATCTGAGCTATGACGAAGACGACAGTCAGTGAGTGATGTGTTTGGTGATCAGGTCACTTTTTATTTCATTTTATTCATTCATTCAAATAGTCACGTTCAAATGATGGATAAGGATGCAGTCAGCTCCTGTAGAAACCAGGAGTACTGATCTTAGTGTTCATGCTGATGGAATAATCTCCACACAATAATACATGGGCATAAATTGTCTAAAACTTACACTCTATTGAGAAAAAAGCAGAAAGTGTGTTTCTGTGCGTGTGTGTGTGTGTGTGTGTGTGTGTGTGTGTGTGTGTGTGTGTGTGTGTGTGTGTGTGTGTGTGTGTGGTAGAACATTAGTGTTAGATTATCCTTTTCTTTACAAAGCAGACTAAAACAGAGATTGGACAGTCAGATTGCTGCTCATTTAAATAAGATTACAACAATTGTGAGGTTAATTGATGTGATGTGATTCATCCGTTTAATTACAGGCAAAGCAACCAAACATGTTTAAATATCATCCTGAGCCATAGATTACAAACAAATAAGTGAGACATTGTTGTACTATTGCACCAATCATCAATAATCAGTCTGTTCTGTAATCATAATCTGCAGTCATTTTCAGTTCTGACAGTTTATAGGAGAGATTTTCCTGTGTTTCCATATATCTCATCCACGCCACTATATTTCAACTATAACACAAATGCACACTACACACAATGAGCACAATGTGTTAGTTTTACACTTTTTTTGACGCTCAAAGACGCTGAACATGCCATTTTTCATTCATCCATAAATGCAGGTGATAAACCACTACTGTATAGCCACAACTGCCCTGGGGCACACTGACAGAAGCGAGGCAACCAGTATGTGTCATCGGCCCCTCCGACCACCACCAGCCATTCTTGCACACAACTTACTCATTCGAGTCAATGTGGGTGTGTTGCCTAAGGACACAACGACACAAGTTTGGTGTTGTTTCAGAAGACTAAATACTGTATCATTTCACTTTCACTGGATTATGAACCACTTTAACTGTGATGCTAAATGTGTTCACCTTTGATGTTCAGATTTTTCAAATAGATTTTCTTTTGGAGGTAGAGTCCCTGAAGTCATAGATGAAAAGAGCAAATTCCCGGTGCTTTTTGATAAAGGTCAGCAATGTGAAAAGACTAGCACTGGAGCAGTGTCTGACAAAACACTCAGCTGAGTTAAAATCCACATACCAGTAAAATACAATTTTTACACGTTTCACATTTTCACATTTTCACATTTTTACAGTCATTTGTATTATTTGTTGTTCTTTTTTTTGAATATTCTCTTGGTCACTCTAGGTCTAGGTACTTTCCAAGGCTGATGAATTGTTTTGCACCAAATTGCTTTGATGGAACTGATTCTTTCAGATTCGATTCATCCTAAAGAAAATGATAAATTAACATTGTCTTTCATCCATTAAAATTCCACATTGTAATATGCATGAGTTGGTTGGTTCTATTTAATAATACTGCGTTTTATGTATAAAACACTTTTTACTCCAGAGCATCTCAGAGTGCTGCAGGAAAGTATAAAAACAGTTGGTGGGATTCTGTATCTAAATCCAACCATATTAAGAAATGAAATCTTGTTACAAAACAGTACCTGAGGTTTTGTAACAAGATTTCATTTCTTAATATGGTTGGATTCAGTTTTCAAAATGTTGTTGTATATGCGATGTGGGAATCTCTATATTGTGGTAAAATAAAAGGAGCTGCATGTGTTAATGGATGAATTTACAGAATGTGATTTTCTCATTAGCTCCATGCAACGTTAACCCTTTGTAATTAGGCACATTGTCACGGCACCGGAGCTCTGACGATTGTTTTTGTTTTTCTGTTTCCGCCAGAACAACACTCTGCATTGGAGGTCTCCAAGGTGACGGAGGTGTGCACGGCTCAGCTGGAGACTTCAGACTCTCAAACTGAAAAGGAAACACACTCTCGCCCCACATGGCACCACTTCCACAGAACAATTGTAGCCCCATGACGCCAGAGAGTCAATGCCCTGGACAAAGGCACTGTGTTACAACAAGTCCTCTCTTGACGTACTCGCGGTCTGCAGGTATGATGAGTGCTCTGTGGTTTTATGATCCCTATTTACTGAATAATGTACAGCATCTTAATATTCTTGATTATCAGAGGTGGAAAGTAACAAAGCATTATTATTAAAAAAATGAGACTACACTTAATAAAACCTATCTAGTTCCTCTCAAACTGGTATGGAACCAAACTATTTCCATTAAAAGATTCTGTATTCATCTATCAGTGAGGAAATTTGAGATTAGATGAAGAGTGCATGGCCTGATTTGTTATTGGCATTTTACGATAACAATATTCTTTAAG